CCCCAAAACCCCAAAACCCCAAAACCCCAAAACCCCATTAGACAATAAAGATTGTTAATTCAAAGAAATTTGCTAAATAAAATTAAAACTTTTTTTATCTCTGCTATAAATTCATGGTAATATTTAATAGTTACTATTTATAATTCTTAATTTGATTTAATATTGGAATGTATATTTCATCTTCTCCAAAGTCTCTCTGGAGGAAAAGAGAAGCACAGCCTCTTACTTTCGATCTTCAGTTACTAAAGTAATCCTCTGCTAATTCTGAAATTATGAGAGTAAAGGTTAATGACATGAAATAGTCTTATGATACTGATAGAGGCTTAGACAATGAGTTACTTCCAGAAATGAATAAAAGTGAATAATTTTAAATAGATCAAGAAATAAACAGAAACAGCTTGAAGAATCGAGAATCAGACCAAATTAGAAAGAATCTAGGGATAAATCAAAGAATCTTTTAATATTCTCTGCTACTCGTATGTGTATTTGCAACTTCATCGATTTTACCTTTCTCAGTTGCACTTCCATTAGATAGTACATTACTCAAGCTAAGTTGGAGGTACGCTAGCATGATTCCGTTTTTAATGTTAGCTTCATACATTCAATTATGAAAAACAGTAGAAATGACCTATTTGGTGAATATCTTTAAAGATAAGAACACAGTTATTTTAGCTTTCAAGGCAGCTATCTCATTATTCTTGGTCCAAATAACATATTTGATAAGTGGATAATATACTATCATTTCTCATGCAACAATATTGAGTTCTTTAGGTGGAGCAATAATAGTTGTTCTCCGCTTTATTACTAAATAGCAAGTTCATAAATATGAATATTTAGGCATACTTCTTGCAATGATTGGTTGCGTGATTTCTGTTTTTGATGAAATTCAGAAAGTAAATGAAAAAGATCTGAATATCCCTCTTGGGGATATTAGTGGGTTACTTTGCTCGATTTTTATGGTAATTTAAATGAACTGCACCCATGAATTAATTCAAAAAGTACCAACTTCATTAGCAACCTTGTTTTCAATTGTAGTTGGCCTATTACTAATTATTGCTTTTGGTTTATTATTTGACAATTTTACCTTTGATATGAATATGAACACTGGAATATTTGGCTTCTGTAATAGTGAATACTTTCTCTATACATTCTTTATTTTAGGTTTCTTTACTGGTGCTGTGGCTTAGTTCACAGAATATCAATCCTTAAAGTATTTTTCACCTCTAATAGTTATTAACTTTTTGCTATTTGAGCCAATCATATCCTAATTTCAATCATGCTGGTTGGGAATCGATTAAGCCCCTGGAGAGATGACATATATTGGAGGTTTATTTACTCTATTGGGGATATTTTTTGTGTCTTATGGAGGTTAGTTACTGGAAGATATACTAGAAAATTAAAATAATTAGAAAATAAGCAAAGGACATAGTGAAAATTATAAAATTCAATTAACTAACTGATAAATAACAGAACTCTATTATGATTAATTATAGTATCTAACTAATTTTATTTATTAGTGAGTTGAGGGGTTTTGGGGTTTTGGGG